CGCTCGTCTCTCGAATCCTTTTTCCGAACGCGCGTGCGATACTTGGCTCGATCCGATCGGTTGCGTAACGCGATACTCGGTACATCGCGGAAACGATTTCTCGCGAACGAAAACGCGACGAGCCTCGATTTTTCCCGAGGACGACGCGTCCGTTCTCGGAACGAGCGCGAACCGGCTGTTACGGATTTCCGAAGAAAGATTCCGTAGGTGGCGCGTGACTCGTGAAAATATACCAAGATCTAGCGCAAATATACTCGCCGACGGAAGGTTACGACAATAATCGTTCGACGGAGAGAGGGTTGGAGTCCGAGCAGGCCGCGAGCGTGCACCGCGAACCTCCAAATTCTCGTTGTCGCGATTTATCCTGATTTATCTCGACTTGTCTCGACTTGTCTCGACTTGACTTATCTCGATTTATGCCGAGAAAAACGCGAACGGACGCGCGGCTTCACCGATACTTTTGCTTTCTGTTTTCTAGTAAATCGTCGTCGTCGGCGGAGACGAAGCCGAAGCCACGGACGGAACGGTATCGGAGACGAACATGAAGTTTACGCGATCACCTTCGACGCCGTTGGCCCTAGCTCTGGCGTTGGCTTTGTTTTCGTCGCTCGGTCGTTGCGACGCTTCGGAAAGCATAATAGGTGAGTGTACACGAGCCGCGACGCGATCGATATCCGCACAGACTCGATTAGAGTATACGGCAATAAGGGGTTGTCGCGAGTTCGGCCGCGATAACGAAAGTCGACGAAACGAACGCGAGCCGCGTCACGCTCCATTTGCGACTTTTAAACGGTCTATTCTTAGTCCGTTTCCATTATCTGCCAGTCTATTTGCGCGGCGAGTCCAGTCGAATCTCTCGACCGGACGATTCGATGCGACGGAACAGGTCGTCGTTGCGATCTTGTCCCGAGCCTCTCCGTTCCTTTCCCTCTTCCCCCCGACTAAACTTCCCCTCGCGCCTAATTCTCCTCGCCTAATCGAAATAACCCATATAAAACGAACCGCGTCGAACGGTAAAACGGGGGCAACGAGAGAGAACGCTCTTTCTCGCACGCATTCCTGTGCACTTGGGAGAACAGAATTCGATTTGGCGACTCATCGGTACGCACGAGCGAGGCGAACCTCGCGAAAAGGGAAAAGGAGGGAGAGCGGAAAGAGGGGTCGCGAACAAGGGCCGTGAAACCGCGAACGGACGATAAAAACGGTGTCAGCGGCAGATTTTAAAGAAAGGTTACTTAAAGTGTGCAGGAATACGTGCGCGCGAGGCACCCGAGAGAGGGATGTCGACGATGGCTTCGCCGACCCGGCGACGGAGATCTCGTTTTCGATGGATCGCGCCTGGCGAAAGGCTGACCGAACGAATCTCTCGTAGATATTTGCCCTTCGGTGCGCGGCGATCGCGCGCCACGGGACCGATCGACCGTGCGCCCCGAGAACGGCGAAAATCTTTGATCACGTAAGTAACAGCAGCTTCCGATCGTTCTCGTTCCGTTTGCCCCGGGAGCCGCGAATCGCGTCCCTCGATCCAACGAACGCGACGCCTCGCGATCGCCGCACCATCGCCGCATCATCGCCCTTCTCGATCGAACCGTTATCGCTGCTCTCCTCTTTAACGGGCCGTTGCTCTTTCTCTCTCTGTTCGCAGGAAGCCGCGAAACATGCGACGTCGAGGGTGAAGACTTCACCGTGGACAAGATCCCGAACACCAGATGCTTCAATTGCTTGTGCAAGGTAAACGGAGAGGGCGGAAAATCGATTCGCTCGATAAACGTCGCGCGATTCTCCTTCCCTCTCTTACTCTCTTTCTCGGATTCTCTCCTCGACGAGAACACGACCGC